TGGTGCAGAAATTCATCTCCTCCTGGTCCTCCTGCCTGCCTCATGCCACCTCTAGTCAGAGTTGCTGGGCAGCCTTTGCCCTCCCTAGAGCCATCGTACCCCTATCTATGCCACTGGGTAGGGACCTGGGGGCCCCTTGTGGGGTCTGTGTTCATGGACGCCCAGCATGTGGTGGTCAGTTCACATCTATATGGACACACGTGTGTGCCCTGGTGGGTGAGCTGCAGCCCATGGGCCAGCCCGCCTCAGGACAGGGTCCCCAGGACCTGCTGCGCGGCAACATTTGACCTACTTCTAAGGCTGTGGGTCTGGCCCAGGCCGCGTTCTCGACTCCTCCGGGAAGTGTGGGCCTGCGTCCCAGCCGGGAGGCTGTGGGCCAGGAGGGGCGGGCCGGGGCGGGCCGGGGCAGCCTGCGGAGCCTGTGGCCCTGGGGACAAGGGCACGTGGGGAACCCGACCCTCTTCCCCTGCTTCTGACTCTTGGGCTCAAGGGACGGCCAGGCCTCACCTCCCCACAAACTCTTCCACGTGGCAACCATACTCTGAGCTCCCCAAATTGGCTCTGACAGGATGAGGGACATTCCTCATGTCCTTCTGAAAATTGTCAGGGAGTTCTGCCAAACACCCACCCTGCTGCTTGCCAAGAGTTTACCCCTTGCCCCCTCCCTGCCCTTGTCCATACAGGGCAACAGTCTGTGCACATCTGGAAAACCACCAGCTCCTGTTCTGGGTCCTGGGTCTGGGGTTTGGGTTGGTTTTATGGTCCTGAAATCTGGGTTTAGAATCCTAAATCCTGAGTCCTGGGTCTTGAATTCTGGATCTGGGGTCTGTGTTTAGAATCCTGGATCCTGAGGCTGGGCACTAGGATCTGGAATCTGGGTTTAAAGTCTGGGTTTGACATCCTGGGTTTTGGAGTCTGGGTTCAGGGTTTGGGTGCCAGAATCTGGGCCTGGGTCCCCAGTGTGGGGTCTAGTCCTGGACTTTGGGTTCCGGGTGCTGAATTTGGGGTTCAGACTGTGGGATCTGAGTCTGGGGTCTGGGTTTGGGGTTCCAGTTTCCAGATCTAGGGTCTGGGTTAGGACCCTGGGTTCTAGAGTTCGAGTCCAGGAAGCAAATGTCCGTTCCCATCCCTTCTACGCCCCCTGCTGGTCAGTGTGGTCAGTACCTCTTCAGGCTGTGAAGAGCAGGCCTGAATTAAGGTGGGCGTGGGGAGGTGGCGGGTGGGCTTGTGGGCAGCTGCTGCTGCATTGCTGTCCCAGGGTGCCCTCTGCATCACCAGAGCTCAGTCAGTCAGCAAATCCCCCTATCTCCCCTAACCCGACTCCAGGGATGGGGCATGGCAAGGGGTCTCAGTCGCCCTGTGACAGATGGGTAAGCTGGGATATCTGGGACGTTTGCTCATCCCGTATTCCTGAGTGCCTGCTGGGTCCCAGGTCCCAGGGATAGAGAGCTGTGGAAGACAAACCGTCCTCCTGTGGTGGCTAGCACTCATGGGAAGGAGGACACGCAAAAGAGACTAGAGAACAAAGAAACAAGCTCATTTTAGCAGGTGTAGGGATGAGGGGTTAGGGAGAGGGATAGGGCAGAGAGCAGGACCAGGGTGGTCTGAGGAGGCTTCTCAGAGGAGGTGACATCTCACTGAGACCAGAGACCCAAACAGTGGCCCCAAGGGGAGGAAACAGCTTGTGCAAAGGCCTGCAGGTCTGGAAAGCAGCTGGCAGGAGGCCAGTGTGGCCAGGGGTCTCCTGTCTTAATCCACAGGCCCCTCAGAAGTCAGGGCCCACGTCTTCCCCGGCATCCCCCTTGGCTGGGGGGGATGGGTTAGGGGCTGCCCCGACAGGCCTCCGGAACATGGCATGAGTGAGGCTGCAGCAGGCTGGGCCACAACTCAGACATCAGGGCTGGGGCAGCTGAAACGGGTAGGATCCGGGCTGTGCAGGTCCTGCCAGGATCTTGTCTGCACGGCAGCCGTTCCTGAAGGGCATGAAGCTCCGGCTAGGACCTAGGTGAGAGGTGAGCACCAAGCCTCGGTGTGGCCTGTCCCCACTGCCCACTGCCACCTGCCCCACCCTGCCGCAGTCCCCATGCCCTGTCCACCCGCGCACACCTGTGCATACCTGCCTTGTCCCGCTGGCAATAAAGGATCAGGCCCTGGGAGGGCTCGGCTGATCTGCACAGAGTCCCTGCTAGGGGCTGGGTGTTCGTTACAGTTTGAAGGTCGCCTGTGGGTGAGCTCTGGGCACCGTTGCTCCCAGGGGCCAGCGGGGTGTGCCCAGAGTCAGAGCTCAGACAGTTGAAGTCCCGGCCCCAGCCTTGATCTGGGCCCTGGTGAGGCAGTGAGGGTGGCTCTGTGCACCCTGTCCCGACTGCAAGCCCTGTGGGAAGGGGACCGACCACTCCCTCTACCCTGCCACACACAGGCAGAGGAAGGGGGCGCTGTGTGGCTCTGGCCTGCTGCAGGAGCCTGCCCACCCCGGAGCACAGACCCGGAAACCGAGGCCCCGGACACTCATGTCACTGACTTACCCTGCTTGAGCAGCTCTTGGGTGGTTTTGAAGGGAGAGCAGTTGTGTGGGGATGACAGAAATGGGATGGGGGAGGGGGCCCTGGGTATGTCCTCTGCCCTGGGCCTCGGTTTCCCCCATGATGAATGAAAGGAAATTGGTCTTGTTGGCTGTGCCTGTGGGTGGCTGGGGCTCCCATGTGACTTTTGTCCTGGGGGTCAGCAGGCTTGGGAGATGCCCCCCCCCGGGGCCTCTCTCTGTGTGTCCCCCTCTGGCTGTCTTCTCCTCTTGTGGTATTTCTGGCTCATCTCTGCCGACCCTCCCCCCACGCCTTTCTTTCTCAATACTGTTGCCAAACATCTGGAAGAAAAGTGAAAAACTTGCCCCCCCAGCCCCGGATGTTGTCAGATTTCCAGATGTGGGGTGTTCTGCCCTCCAGATGAGGGGAGGAGTGTGTTCTGGCCAGGAGGGGCCCAGCCTCAGGCCTGGACTGCTGTCCCCTCCGGGTGAGGCTGAGTGACAGGATGAGAGGCATGGGCCCAGCAGGAAGAAGGTGGGGGAGCCCCAGGTAGAGGCCCCAGGAATCCCCGCAGGCTGGGCTGCAGCCCTCTCCACGCCAGGGAAGTCCCTCAGGGAGTGGTGGTGGGCGCTGCCTCTGAAGTCTCTATCAAAGGCTCCAGGCGCTTAAAAATAACCAGGAACACCTCCCTCCCACCCCCCAGACGCAGACGCTGGGCAAGCAGCAGAGCCCAATGTGGTTGCAAGATGTCCCCGTTCTGGGTGTCCGTGTCGGAGCAGCCTCACGCCGCCTCAGCCTTCCCACTCCCCAAATGGCGGCCCAGCCAGGCTGACTCTGCCACTGCCGTCTGCCCAGGGCGGACACCAGGGGCAAACCCCGCTCAGCGCCTTGGGTTCCCTCAGAGTTGAAGACCCTCTGGGGCTGCACCAGAGAGGCGGCAGAGGGAGGCAGGGGCGGTGGAGCAGCATGGGAGAAAGCTTCCTGGAGCAGGCCACAGTGGAGCTTTGACAGTGCCAAGCAGAGGCGGGGCAAGGGCACTCTGGCAGGGGCACAGTGGGGGCCAGGGCCCTGGGCGTAGGGAAAGGGGGGTCACTGGAGCTGTGGGAGGGGCCGTAGGAAGCCAGCCTCGGGGCCAGGCAGGCGCTGCTGAGGGGGCCTGAGCTGTTGAACTGGCCTGGGGTGACGCCCCTTGCTGGAGCAGTGCTCATTCCATTGCTCCTTGTGGTGTCCCGGAGATCCCTGGACCCACGGCTAAGGCTGTGACCAGCTGCCTGCCATGACCAGACACTCATGCACAGACATATAAACACCCAGACATAAGCACACAGCAGCGACACCCACAGACACACTCACACAGACACGGATGCACGCCTGTAAACCCCCGGCGACAGACACACAGAGACAACACCCAGACACACACCGTGCCCCGCGTGGACACAGACGGGGCACACACAGACCCCCATGCTCATAAAGGCACCCAGACAACACACAGACCCCTTCCACACAAACACACACACAGAGCCCCACACACATGTAGACACCCAGGCACAGACACCCAGAGACAACACATGCATAAAGACACACAGAGACAGGCCGGGCACGGTGGCTCACGCCTGTAGTCCTAGCACTCAGGGAGTCCGAGGCGGGCGGATTGCTCGAGGTCAGGAGTTCAAAACCAGCCTGAGCAAGAACAAGACCCCATCTCTACTAAAAATAGAAAGAAATTAATTGGACAACTAAAAATATATAGAAAAAATTAGCCGGGTATGGTGGCGCATGCCTGTAGTCCCAGCTACTCAGGAGGCTGAGCCAGGAAGATCGCTTGAGCCCAGGAGTTTGAGGTTGCTGTGAGCTAGGCTGACGCCACGGCACTCACTCTAGTCTGGGCAACAAAGTGAGACTCTGTCTCAAAAAGAAAAAAAAAAAAAAAGACACACAGAGACAATACACGCATAAAGACACATAGAGACTACACACACAAACATGTGCTGACCTCCCTCCCCCCCGCCCCCCCAACAAACACAGTCACAGGGGAATTCGATGTGTAGATGGGAAGTTTAACTCCAGAGGTGTCCTTAGGTAATTCCAGTCCTTCTGCCCCCAGCACAGCATTCGGCACACATGTGGGCCAGCCTTCTACACCTGCTTGGTTTATTAACCTGCTGAGGGCCCCCGTGTTGGTATGTGTGTGTGTGCATATGTCTGTGTTGAGTAGTGGCCTTTTTCCTCCTCTCCCCCTCCCTCTCTCCAACAGGTGATTGGGAGGAATGGAAGGCCCCCCTCCCCCATCATTCCTGAGCCTGAACAATGCCCTCCCCAGACCCCAAAATAGCCCCTGGGCTGAGCCAATGTCCTTTTATGGCCCTGTCCCTATTGTGCACTGTAGGGGTGGGGCTGGGGTCATGAGGTGTCCAGGCAGGATAAAGGACTGGGCACGGCGGCTCACCTACCCTGCTGTCTGCACCCTTTTCCCCACAGCCCTCTCTGTGCTTACAGCCCCCATGGCCCCCAAAAAGCCAGATCCCAAGAAGGATGAGGCCAAGGCAGCCTCCAAGGCAGCTCCAGCTCCTGCACCCGCACCTGAGCCGGAGCGCCCAAAGGAGGTCGAGTTTGATGCCTCCAAGATCAAGGTGGGTGTGGGAGCCGGGTTGTGGCAGGAGGGGCTGGGCAGTGGGTAGGTCTCAGAGGGCACCTGCCCAGTGGTCGGTCAGACTCCAGAAGGGAGCACTGACTGAGCTGAAGCTGGAAGCTTCTGTGCAGGGGCAGACAAGCTCTGCTTGCTTCAGGCATCAGGAGGACAGTAGCAGGAGAGACGGAGGTCAGACGTTAGGCAGGACTCCCCTGGTGCTCCTGAGAGCCAATGCACTCTCACAGAGGACTGTGGACTGGAGTTTGAAGGGAATGTCTTTTTGGTGGTTTTGGAAACTGAGTCTCCCTTGCCCTTCCTCCTGGACCTCACATCCTTGGGGTTAGCTGTTCCCCTACACCCTGTAACCAGACAGAGATCTTCCTTGTCCGGCTGAGGGGTCCCAAGTTCATGCCAAGTCCCCAAGAGTGCATAGGGTGGGGAGTAAGGGGAAGTGGGTCACACTCACCCCCTGTGTTGGTATGTGTGCGTGTGCACATGAGTGTGTGCATATGTGTGGGGTTGAGGCTGGGTCACACTCACCCGCTCAAAGTCACTGAGCCCAGAGCTCCTGGACCTCAGTTCTTTGGTGGAGGAATTGAGGCACAGGCAGGGTAGGGACATCCCAAAAGCCATGTAGGAAGCTGGTCGTGGAGCTATGCCCAGTGGCCTCAGGAACCTCCCCAGCCCCCGCTAGGAAGTCTTTCCCAGAGTCTAAACTTGGAGGGAGCCATGACTCCCACCTGTGGCATCTACATAGCAGCACGTCTGTGTCCTGCCTGCTCCCTGTGCTGGGCTGGCCGCCAGCCACTGCTGCCCTGCTGCCTTCTGAGGGGCCCTGTGGGGCCACTCCCAGCCCCTCATGCCCAGCAAGACTTACATCCCACCTGTTCGCATGTGCCTCCTGTGCTCGAGCCCTGCCCGAGGCACCTACCCATGTCCCTTCAGACAAGGGTCCACATCCCAGCTCTGCTCCCTCTCCGTGGCCAAGCCCCTTCCTGCTCCGAGGAGGCTTGGTCTCCTCGGCTGTGAGACGGGACGATGAGCCCCCTTGCAGGGTTGATGGGGACCATTCAGAGCATGTTACTCGGAGGTGGCTCCCTGTCCTCCAGCCACCCCGGGACCCATGGCAGTGCCAGGTCTGAGGGTGGCACAGACCCCCTCTGAGAGGCAGGGATAATGAGGCCCCTCATGTGCCCCCTCAAGCTGGCATGTGCAGGACATGGGGCCTGTGCTGGGAGCTCAGGGACCTCCGTCTCAGCAGGTCTTCTGGAGGGAGTCTCAGGGAGCTGGAGAACAACTTCTTCCCAGCGCTGGCTGGAGCCAGAAGCCATGCGGGACAAATGTGGCCGGGGCACTGTGTGTGGGTGGGGCGCCCAGGGAGCAGCAGTGGGAGCGGCACCAGTCATGCCCCCTCCTCCGTGCTGCTTTCCCTGTGTGACCTTGACCTTGGGGCGAATGACTGCAGTGATAAAAATAGACCTGGTATCGGGTGAGGAGGGGGACATGGGGTCCCAGGAGGCCTCCTGACCTCAGGCTGGCCCCAGTGTAGCTCCAGCAAACATTCAGCTGGCATCACCCAGGCCCCATGCTGTGCTGGGATGTGGGGGCTACCCCAGGGCCTACAGTGTGACTGGCTGTGCCCAGTCTTGAGGGGCCCAGGGGCTCTGTGTGGGCGGACACATGTAGACACACACACATGCACACTCGTGTGAACACACATGCACACATGTGTGCACACACCCCCACTCTGTACTGCCACAAGCCCTCTGGCCTGCACTCACACCCTCCCTCCTCCTGCCACCCCAAGGCCGCCCGCATCCCTCATGCTGACAGTCCTGCCCACTGGGTCCCCGGCAAAGCCAGTCTGGTCAGGTCTTATGGCTTAAGGCACCTCTGTCTAGAACTAGGAGCCTCAGATAAGGCCCACCCTGGGCTGAGGCCTCGGGAGCCAGGCTGCCCCCTTCACCGCTACCCAGCCATGGCCCACCAGGCACCAGGGTCTGGGCGTGCACAAGCTCAGGCCTTCAGATTGGGTGGGAGTGGGGGTTAAGGAGGCAGGAGCGTGTCAGGGTGGACCACGGGAGGTCCTAGGTGGTGGAGGCTGGAATGGGACAGGCTGGGACAGCTGAGGAGCTGGGGTCTGGGCTGGCCATGGAGTGACCAGGAGGAGGCCTGGCCCCACGCTTTGAGCCTGGCCCTCAAGCCTTTGGGGTCTCTTTTCAGATCGAGTTCACACCAGAGCAGATTGAAGGTGAGCAGCGGTCTGGACCCAGGGATTGCGTGGCTGGGCCACAGTTCCCTGGTCTGAGCGGGGAACCCTGGTGTGGGGGGAGCGAGGGGGGCTCACTCCGGGAGTGTCGAAGCTCACTGCCCTCTCCTGGCAGAGTTCAAGGAAGCCTTCATGCTGTTCGACCGCACACCCAAGTGTGAGATGAAGATCACGTACGGGCAGTGTGGGGACGTCCTGCGGGCACTGGGCCAGAACCCCACGCAGGCGGAGGTGCTCCGCGTCCTGGGGAAGCCCAAACAGGAAGGTAGTACACCCTGCCTGAGGGCCCTGTTAGTGCCAGGCCCAGGGGGGACTGCCTGGGGTGGGGGCTGCCATCCGTGGTGGCTCAGCACGAGGACCTGCCTGCTGTGTCCTTTCCTGACACCCTCCCATTGTCTCGATGAGGACACTGAGGCTGGTCTCAGAGCCATGCTGACAAGGAGACAAACAGTGACGGTTTGCTGGGCCATCTGGCCCCAACCTGATTCACCAGGCCTCCTGGTCACAGGGGCTGACACCTGTGGAGGAGTGAGACCCAAGCCCTCCCCGCAGGTTCCAAAGTCCCAGGGAAGGTCTCGGATTGGCCCAGCCACTCCTGACTAATCACAGATGGTGGGGACCGTGAGGTCGGTAAGAAAATGACACTAGGGGAGGACTGTTTCCCAAAAGTAGACTAGGGGTACGGCACAGAGCCCCTGCAGTGGAGCATGGCCGCAGACGGTCCTCGTGAACAGCAGAGGGCTAGGGAAACAATGCACCTCTCAGCAGACTTGTGTCTTGTGGTGTTAGCATGCTTTGCAAATGGCAAACCAGCCTAGACTGCTTTGGGAACTGTATGAGAGGTGACAGCTCCTCATTATAAGGCACAGGGGAAGGGTGTGCCCACCCCCTTGGACCCTGGGACTTGGACCATCTCTCTGCAGAGCTCAATACCAAGATGATGGACTTCGAAACGTTCCTGCCCATGCTCCAGCACATTGCCAAGAACAAGGACACAGGCACCTATGAGGACTTCGTGGAGGGGCTGCGGGTCTTTGACAAGGAGGGCAACGGCACGGTCATGGGTGCCGAGCTCCGCCATGTGCTGGCCACGCTGGGTGAGGGCAGCCTCTTCCCCACCCCGCTCCCTCTTTTGGGGCATCCTGGGAGAAACCACTCTGTCATCTGCCCAGCCGATGTCTCACCTGTGAAATGCAGAGAGTGACCTCATTTAGGTGGGGAATGCAGAACCAGCAGGGACAGCTCTGGGAATGGGGCAGGGCAGGAAGGTGCACCGCGATCAACTCAGTCCTCCTATTTGTTGCTCCAAGGTCAGATTCCAGGGCCACGGCGCTAAGTGGTCGAGTAGGTTCCATGCAGACTGGGCGGGCATCCCAACCTTCGTGGGGGCCTGTGTGCCTCCCACTTACACCACCTCCGTCAGGTGCCTGGCCGGTCGGGGCCCCCTTGTCAAAGTGAACATTTTCTACAGCAAACATTTATTGAGTGCTTACTGTGTTCAGGCCTGTGCTGGTCCCTGGGGTTGTGTGTGCGTGTGCGTGCGTGTGTGTGTGTGTGTGTGTGTGTGTGTAGGGGTGAGGGGCGGGGGAGCTGCTGCTGGCACTCCGATGGGGGAACCAGCACAGCACAAAAATACCAAGGCAGGAAAGTGCCAGACTTGTCTAGGGAGCAGTGGGTGGTCTCTTGGTCCCCTCCATATCAATCCCCAAGGCCCCCAGCTCCACCCCTAGGCCCTTCTTCTATCCTCAAAGGGCTGCCCCAAGGGGACTGCTTCCAGAGGGGCGTGGGGCCTGGCTTCCTCCTGATGGAGAAGCCGCTGCAGCACAGTGGGGACAGAGCACAGTGCACGCTGGTCCTGCGAACACCAAGATACCCAGGCTCAGATCCAGCCCTTCTGGTCACTGATTCTCCTGGTGTCGGGAGTGGGGGTGATGGCCAGGGGCAGTGAGCAATGTTGGCGGTGTGTGGGGGGACATTGGGGAGGTGGAGCCACCATTCAGGGATCAGCAGGTCCCCCCAGCCTGTCCCACCTCCAATGGCGCTGAGTCAGCTCCCTCTCCGCCCGCCAGGTGAGCGGCTGACGGAAGACGAGGTGGAGAAACTGATGGCAGGGCAAGAGGACTCCAACGGCTGCATCAACTATGAAGGTGGGCTCGGCAAGGCGGGGCTTGCTGGAGGGAGCGTGGGACCAGGCCCAGCCTTGGCGGCTCACCCTCCCCTTCTTTCCAGCATTCGTGAAGCACATCATGGCCAGCTGAACCCCCACCCAGGTGAGCCCCTACCCCAGGGCCCTCCACACCTGCTGCTGTCACCTTCCTGTCCCCAGCGCTGCAGTGTGCAGCTGACATCCTGCTGCCTCCATCCCCCTCCTCCTCTGTAACCCACGGCTGCCTTTGCTCTCAGGGAGCCCAGGGCAGGCCGTGCTGGGGACGTCTCTTCTGCTATGTGTGATGCTGACACCAGTGGCCTGGAGTTGCGGGAAGGAGCGAAGCGTTTCCAGACTCCTGTGCAAGCCCTCAGACTCTGCATGGTTGTCATCTCTGGCCCCGTTGGGCTGTGCTTACCTGTGACCACATTTCTGTCCCCACCCCATGGGCTCTTGAATAAATGGCTTCCTGCCTGCCTTCCTTTCTGGCTTTCTCCCTCCTTTCCTCCCTTCCTTCTTTCCTTCCTCCCTCCTTCCTTCCTTTCTTTTCTCCTTCCTCCCTTCCATCTCTCCCTCCATCCTTCTTTCCTTTCTGTGGCCTCTCTGTGGCCAACCTTTGTGAATCTTGTGGCCCGTGGACACACGCCGGAGTGGGCTGAGCTGGAGGGGGTGTGGGCCTCCTCCCTTTCCCTTGTCCCTCCTGCCTTCTGTGCACGGCAGCCATGCTGTGTCCCCAACGAGAGCACCAAGAGCACCGTCTGAGCTGTCTTACTCCATGCCCAGCAATCAGGCAGCCGCAGGGCACTGGCCCAGAGCCACCGTGTCACAGGTGGGGAAGCTGAAGTCCAGCACAGGGAATGGCCTTGCCCGAGCCCAACTGGGACTAGGTGGCTGTCAGAGTGCCTAAGCCCTCACCCTGATTTAGGTGGGGAAACTGAGGCACTCTGCCTGCAGCGTGGCTCCAGGCCAGAGGCAGAGGCCTTGCTGGGGCAGCGGTGGGCTCCTCAGCCCCAGGCTTCTCTGCAGAGGACAGCGTGCCATCCCTGAAGTGGTGGGAGGAGGTGCACGCCCCCTGCCGGCCCTGCCCCCTGCCCTCACACCCTGCCTGGGGCAGAGCCCCTCACCTGGGGCCTCCGAGCACAGTGGGGAGCCACGTAAACTTAAGGGAAGAAGAGCAAAGTCCTGCAGAGAGGCTGGGGCCCAGAGATGGGGGGTGGGGTCAGGGCGCGTCTGCTTGGGAGGGTGCGGGTGTGTGAGCGTGAGCTCGAGGGCCTGCCGGGGCGGGCAGTCTTGAGTGTGTGAGTGAGCGAGTGGGGTTGCACGTGCGGGAGCGTGCGTGTGGGCGGCGGTGCCAGCAGCGGGTGGGAGAGACCATGTGTGAGGGGTGTGAGGGTGCCGTGGGCGCCCGTGCACCTCCTTTCATTCTGTCAGCACTTGTTGAGCACCACCTGTGGGCCAGCTCTGCTCTAGGCGGGGGGACTCTGCACTGGAGAAAGCGGTAGAAACCTCTGCCCTGCGGAGCTCAGGCAGCCCAGACATGCCCGGCTGCAGCGTGTCAAATAGGGTGGGCTGAAAGCAGGGAGGCTGCGGTGTGTGTGTGTGTGAGAGAGAGAGAGGGAGAGAGAGTTGGGAGGTAGTTGACATGTTAAATAATGAGGTCAGGAATTATCTGAGAAGGTAATAGTTGGGCAAAGATTTAAAGGAGAAGAGATAATATTTATTTAATAGAATACATAAAGAACTCCTATAACTCAACAAATATCCCAAACAACCCAGTTAAAAAATGCCCAAAGGACTTGAATGTACTCCTGGGTGTATACCCAAAAGAATGGAAAGTAGGGTATTGAAGAGGTATTTGTACACCCATGTTCATAGCAGCATTATTCACAACAGCCGAGAGGTACAAGCAACCCAAGTGTCCATCAACAGATGAATGGATGAGCAAAATATGGTGCATGTGCACAGTGGAATATTATTCAGCCTTAAAAAGGAAGGAGATTCTGACACATGCTAGAACATGGATGGATGAACCTTGAGGGCATTAGGCTAAGTGCAATGAGCCAGTCACAAAAGACAACTGGTGTATGAGCCCACTTCTATAAGGCTCCTAGAGCAGCCAACTTCATAGAGACAGAAAGCAGAATGGTCGGGGCTGCAGGGAGGCAGCGTGGGGAGTTACCGCTAAAGAGAAAGTGAGGAAAGAGAGATGGAGTGTTTTAGGCTGGGCACCCCCAGAAATAGACCTGAGACAAGCACCTGAGTACCCTGGGTACGAGGACCACCTGCAAATAGTGTCCCTGGGCAGTGACCCTAGGGAGCATGGGAGAGGAAGACAGCTCCTGAGAGGTGCACGAGGAGCGGATGGCACGTGGACATGGGACTGCAATTGGAGACTGGAAGCAAGGGTGTCCTGGGGCCTTAGGGCTTGCTCCCAGAGACTGGTGAGTGGGGCTGCAGGTTTGACCCATCCAGCAGAGACCAGCATTGGCCCCATCGTCCTGCCTGGAGAAGGCACCCAGTTGGTGCTCAATAAATGCTTGTGGAAAGGTAAGAAGAAGGAGATGGTCTGTCAGAGTCAGCCACACCACCTCCCCCTTCTGGGCCTTGGGGGTCCATGTCAACACGAGGGGCAGCCTGGAGTCAGATGTCAGCACAGAGTTGGGAAAGCACCCACCCTTCACCCATGGGGACCAGGGGAAGATTCAGAGGAAGCCTCTGGGAGTAAGGGCACCCCCAGGGGTCGGCTCAGATGGCCCAGAACCCCTAGCTCCCAGCAGCCCATCCAGGACCCTGTTTCTCATTAGGGGCCTTCTTGCTTCCCCAGCCCTGGTGAAGGGCTCCTCAGCCCTGCTGGGACCCCTGGGGAGATGGTGGCGCTGCCCCACTGAGGGCCGAGGAAACCAGACTATCCACCGACTCCCCTCTGTCACCGGTGGGGCAGGGCCCCCAGGCAGGCTGCGGCACTTCAGCAGCTGCTTCAGGGAGCCATGTGGGCCTCTGAGGGAAGACGTCCCTGCAGAAGGCATCCCTACAAAGGCCTGCAAGGGGAGCTGAGAGTGGAGTGGAGGTGACAGGTGCTGTGTCGAGAGGGGAAGGAGGGAGGGCCCAGGGCTGTGGGAGGGCCTGTGCGCTGGTGTTTCTCTGTGCAGGCGGGCAGGAGCAGGAAGGCCGGTTAGGAGGCGCTGGGAGAGAGAAGCAGAGGCACGCTCGCTTGGCCCAGGTGCTGGCAGGAGTGACAGTCACTGTGGCCAGATTCCAGGCCTGCGCTGAAAGCACCTCAGCATCTCAGGCAGATGTGGAGGCTTTCGGTTCTGTTCCTTACCTAAGCTCCGTCCACTGCAGCCCCAGATCTGGTTCAGGGCCGGGGCTGTGATCTGCTCTCTCACGGTTTACCATCGAGGCTCTCAGAGGTGCACAGTCTGTCAGCAGGTGAGACAGAGACAGAGGACCCCTGGGCCTTGCTACGGTGGCCTCAGCCAAGGAGGGCGTCTTTGCGTGCACGTGTGATCCTACTGGGCTCCGGCCAGCTTCCCTGGCCACGCAGTGGCTGCGGACTCCCCAGGGGAGAGCAGGCCCTAACCAGGCTCCACCACTCTTCCTGGGCGGGACACCCGGGATGCCAAGCCCAGGAGCCACTGAGCGAGCGCCCCTTTGCAAGTCTGTGTGGAACTGGGTGGTCCCAGCATTTTCTTCCTGGGGGTGCTTGCCTTGAGCTGGAGTCCTGAGCAGGGACTGCACCTGCTCTCAGTCATCTCCAGCCAAGGAGTGGCCTTGCCTCCGAGTTCACCTGTGTCGCAGTCCCCAGATGTATGTGTCCTGCTCGCTCAAGAATGAAGCCCGTCCTCTGGTTTCCACGGTGTCCTGCAGTACTCCCAGCCCTCCCCCAAACATACCCTCCTCGCAGGCTCCCTGGCCCCTGGGGGCTACCACCCCCCTGTGCTTGGCTGAGTGGTGGGAGGGAGCATCCCACACATGTCCCCGTGACCCTCTGTGGCCCCTACGCTGCCAATCTTCTTGCGTGGACTTGGACTGGGAGGGGACAGGTTGCGGGTGGCTGGTGAGGGCAGGGCCAGGGCTATTGTGTCTAGTGAGCCCCGGCTGGAGCAGTGTGGTCCCACTTGTTGAGGCTTAGCTCCATTTGGAATGTGACTCTGTCCCAGCCGTTGCCACTCTAGGGCCATTTACCTGTTATATGTGGCTCTACTGACCACGTGTTCCTGGGCTTGGGTCACTGGCTGTGGGTATCAGAGCGGATGGGTGGAGGCACCTAGAAGCTGGAACTCAGCTGCAGGGGTGAGCCTTCTCCTTACCCAGAGCCCTCCCACCTGGCTGGGTGGGACGTGTGTATCTCTCTGTGTTCCTGTGTGCATATGTCCACAGGTGTGCATGTGTGCCTGTGTAGCTATATCTGCGAGTGTGTGCTTGTGCTTGTATGTGTGTTGTGTGTGTATCCATGTCTGTGAGCGTGCAGGTGCCCGCGTGTATATACCTGTGTATGCATGTGCCTGTTTGTCCATGCACATGTACATGTGTGTTTACTGCTGTGTGTGTGCTCGTGTCTGTTTGCATGCATGTCTCAGTGTGTCCGTGCTGGGGGGCTCTGCTGAGTCAGCGCCGGCTCCGGGCGGGCAGCACTGCCAGCCAGGCTGTGGCCTCCCCACAGTTGCATAAACACTGGTCCCAGCTCCCCCTGCAAGCAGGGTGGTCCAGCCTGTGGCCCTGTGGCCGGTGGAAAGGATGGGACAGGGCAATGGGTTTGCTCTCCTGACAGCTTGGTTCCATCCATGCCTCAAGTGCCGGGTCACGTGCCCCATCAGCGTGGGGTCTGTTCTGGGGTCTTTCTGTGCCCTACTTTCCTCATCTGGCCTAAAGCCTGACCTCTGAGGTCTCTCCGAGGTGGCAGGAATGGCCGCCTCTCTAGTCCTGGTCCAGGCTGAGTCAGAGGGTCAGGGGTAGTTGAAGGGTAGAGTTCAGCCTCAGGATTCCAGGCAGGGTCAGGAAGTCCCCCTGAAACTGCAGAACCTAACCCAGAAGGCCCAGTGATACTGTGAGAACAAAATTCCAATGGACCCTTTGAACTCACTGCTTTAGGGCAGAGTTTTGAGATCTGGAACTTGAGCCCAAAGGGGAGAGAATTATGGGAGCTGGGCCTGTGATGGGCCCAGAACAAACTGTCCCTCCAGTGCTCTGATGTCCCTGTGTGGCCGCCCATGGCTATTGGCAGCCTGCCACACCCTGCGTCCTCTCTTCCAGACACCATCCCCAGGGATCCTGAGGTCACCACTGGGACATGAATTAGATGGCAGGGAGCTGGGGGACCAGGAAGGCCGGAAGTTCACCCCAAGGTAGAATGAAGTGAGGCAGGATCTTGAAGAAGCCAGGCATTGGACAGAAATTTTGCCAGGCCACAAGAAGGAAAGAAATCAGTCGCAGATATGAAAAATTGGACGGTAGGGCCAC